GTGCCGGCCCGGCGCAGTGAGAAAATGTGTAAATGAAAGGGGAAAAATATATGAAAGTTTTCGTGATTAATTATTGAAAAAATTCAAAACAGGATAGGTATTTTTTTTTAAAGTTCAATTATTGATTGTACTAAGCTCTGTAAATTTCAGTGAAAATTTGCAAGTATTGCAACTCTAGCGGTGAGTCACACGGGGGACCTTGGCGGTGAGAGGTGTTTCCCATCCGGCACCGGGCGGGCACCCTTCGGCAAAAGATCACACAGCCAGTGCGCCTTAATAAGAACGGCCATAGAACCGAAATAATGGCAGACCAATGACTGTATTAACCTCCAGTAGCTCCATACGCGCAGGCCCGCACACACGCACAAGAGAGCACACACACACAAGGTGGCGCTGTTCCTCCCGGGAGCCCCCCGTCCCGCCGCCGGCCGGCCGAGCGACCGCGCCTCGTTAGCGGGGGTCTTGTTGGGCCTGGTTTAGTGACAGAGCAGGGAGCACCGCACCGCTGCGCGTCCAAACAATGCAAGGTCTAGTCTAAGACCTCGACATTAATTAGGGCCTGCTTCTAGGCGGGGGTAAAACTAACGGAAAACTGGGGCTGCAGCCTCTCGGTGCTGCTGATGATTGCCGGTGCCGGTCATTTCGATGCTTTTGGTTGTGCAAGGCGGGGCGGGGCGCGTCCGTGCAAGGTCGCGGAGGAAACGGAAACTGACGTGTGAAAGAAGCGCACGCGACGATTACAGATTGAAGATTTATTTGAATATACCGCTGTTGCCAAACGCCCTAGTTTTTTTTTGTTTGCCCCCTTTTGTTTTACAAAAAACAACAACTGTAGGATCTAGGTTATGAATAAAAATGTGATTTGAAAGTGTCAGAGTAAGGAAAATGCACTTCTAATTATGAGTTCTCAGCCTCTCAGAGGTCCGACAGATCGACAAGGGTTGAATTTTTAAAGATGTTTGTCTACCAGTTATAGCCAACCTAAAATAGGATCCACTGTCCTTAAGTTAAACAACGTGAACCCCGCCGATGTACAACGCGCTCATCTGTAATTCTCATTTCTCAAAATATTCCCATCCTCTTTTCTTCCTTCTTTTACAACAAATCTAATTATGGTCACCTCCCTGTCTGGGTCCAACGCAACGTCGCAGAAATATCAAGATACCTAATCCCTCTGCTGTGCTCCTCCCACGAGATAACCTAACCCCGCCTCTCGCTAACGAGTCGCGCCCAGAGACTGCAGCAGACGGCGGCAGGCCCCGGTCAAAATAATTAGAGGGAGGGGCCCTGGTCACCCCAGCCTGCCCCGCCTTTAGGAGCACATGCGCGCGCTTAGGCATGCCTAGAAATGGAAGTGAGCAGAACCGGATCCAGTACTGCGAGTGTGTGTGTGTGTGTGTGTGTGTGTGTGTGTGTGTGTGTGTGTGTGTGTGCCCGCGCGAGCAGCTGGTTTCACTTTTTACGCTGCTCCGCTGATGGGCAACGCCAAGAAGTGGATGAAGATGTGGAAGTAGTGGATGATGACGGCCGGCTGCACTAGCTAATCCTTCCACAGCACAGGCCTGAATCACCCCCCTTCGCCTCACTCTTCCTCACAAATTGTTATTACTCTTGCATTGCAGCTGGCGGCGTACAAGAGCGGTCGTCCCAATGCGGCCAACAAGCGACAACAGCAGCTTCCTTACATTTCGCTGTCCTGATCAACACTGTCGCGCTTACAGCTCCCCCTCCCCCCTTGTCCGTGTGATACGGCACGACTTGTTTCGCCACTCGCGCCCGTAGTGCTTGTTGGCAGCTAAAGGGTTTGAGGTAGCTGGGACGAGGAGGAGGGGGTGTGGAACAGAAAAGGAGAGAGGACGGACCACGTGGGTTTGAGTAGGACACTCCATATGCCAGATATTTTAAGGACATGCACGCGTCTGATTCAACACATCGAGTGCACGGGATTAGTAAGGTAAGAAGAGCTTAGTTTTAGAAACACGATATAACAAGTAAATTTACATTTAGTTTGGACCACTTGAAAGTGATACAGCAGCGAACTAACTGCGGTAGCTAGCTTTGCTATCAGTGTCAGCAGCAAAGTATCAAAAACAAACAATAAATGTTGACAGTTCCATGTTATTCATGAAGCCTAAACCGAACTTATTATACGACAAGCCTTTTCCCCCGTCACCGTCCTTAGCCACGGGGCTGCGAGCTCGCTCGTACCAGCAGGACCGCTGCAGGGGTCCGCGCGCGCCAGTGCCGCCTTACGTCAAAAACCCTAGTCACCCTCGGTGACGCAAGGGAAGTCCCGGAACAAGCACTGCCTCATTGCGCGACCTTCACCTCGTGGGCCAGGCCCAGTTGCCCCCAAACCGCGGCCAACAATCTAATACACTACCTTCTGTCAATGTCAAGCCTTTCTTTTTTCTTTTTTCTCTAAATCTTTATTTAGGGGAGAAAATGTAGGAATTTAACTGTCGTTTTATTGCGCTTAGGGCAACACTCGACTGTCTGTTCGTGCCGTTAACGACGCGGTGACGACGACCCCGGACCCCGTCGGTTGAGTCGCGAGAGAAATTAGAGAGACGGATAGAGAAACTGTCAAAAATATGTTTGTTTAACTTAACATTTTTTCTTATTATTTTTTATTGTAATATACGGTTCTCCGGTCGGTATCGTAACTTTACTACTGACTAGTTTTGTTTGTCGGAATAGTTTAAGAAGGGTCGACGAATGATATAATTTCACAAATTTCAAATCGATTACTTTACAACACATCTCATGGCAAATTTTCCTAGTCAAAACCTATTTTATGCCACAATGGATGGGGAGAGCAGGATGACAGTCGTTTGGTAAGCACCCGGCCCCGCGAGCCACCGCCTTTTCGGCGAGCGCCCTAGTAGCAAGACAGAGGTCGACCAAATTAAAGGCCTGCCGAAAAGCGGTGGGCCTGGCTGAGGGCGGTAGCGGCCACGGTAGCGGCGGAGCCAGGCAGCCGGGCTGCTCGTTCCTTTCACTCGATGAAGATAAGAAGAATGCAACGAAGCAGCCTACTTAGAAAGCTCCCTGTGGGAAGCCGAACACAAGCCAGCGCCCGGCACCAGCGCGACTTTATAAAGTACACCTGATCTCTTCCCAACCTCGCCCGCGCTTGAGCCGATTTCTCACAAATCGTCCCCCTCTTCGCCCGATCTGCAGCGAAATTTTTGGATGGATTTTGCCGCAGGTTCATCACGTACTTCAGTAAAAGACCAGCAGGAAGTGGAAATAGCTGTGATCATATTACGAGTACTGAGCAAAGGGTGGTTTTGAAACCATATTGTGGGTTCTCACGTGGATCAGATCATACATTTAGGGTGAGTAATAAACAACTTTGACAGAACCATGACAGGGAAATCAAACTGACAATCAAAAACCTCTTTTACCTGATATTTATCAAAGCTGAGAGTGACCTGCTCGCGAGGAACTGTTCTTTGCCCGTATCCAATGTACTACGCCCGCTAGGAACGATATGACATCATTAAAGAAAGCTCGGAAATGACAGAGACTCGCCCGGCTCGACAACACGACCCCCCGCTCACCACCAAATGTGGGGTTTAACTACCTCCTCGAAGTGTCATCCAGCAGGTGAACCCTTTTCTCACCCTACGCCACTACGCTGCGCCACGCTGCGCCACGCTGCGCCACGCCGCGCTCCGCATCTTTCGCAAAGCCGAAGCCGAGCGCTGAGGTCGTGAGAATCTCTCGCTGGAACCACGCCATGCAGCGGCGGCGCCCCCGGAACCCCCTTCGCCCCTACGCCACACGGCCCTCGCGCCGCGCTACCTTCTTTCGCATTCTCCCCCCACCCCCTCTATTCAAAAATTTCCCAGCATCATACATACAACAATTAAGACAACATTTTAAAATACACCTACGCCTGCATTCAGTCTCGTACAAAAATGACGAAAGTAAGTAAGCAGACTTCAAACTTATCTCGATCTTCCCCGCAGCGACTGGAGCGAACGAGGGCTTCACGTCCCAAACGGGACCGCCTCCGAACCATGCCGCTTTGCCCTCTACTAGGTGCCGCGCGCGCGCTTGCCTCCAAAGTTCACACGGGTCAGACGTGATGTGCATGTCCTGAACCGTCCTCAGCGCTAATGGTGGGCCTGCCCAAGGTCCCGCCCAGTCACACAAGGCGCACCCCGTTAGGCACGCTTTAACGCCCCTTTGTGTTCGCCAATAATTGAGGGGGGCAAGCCTCTGGTAATCTATTTGAGGTGCTGCTATTTCGAAGTATCAATAAAGGGTCCTCCAGCGGTCTCGTCAAAACTACATGGATTTAATATAACACCGCCCTCTCTCAATGTTGAGCGAAGAGAGGACGTCGTGGGATTCATTGACCCAAGTGTGGGTAGGTATTCATAACTCTCATCCTAAAGATAACAAAGTAGCCCTTGGTCATGGAATCTAAATACAGCTCATAACGCGTTTGCCACAGCGGCGCAGTTCAGTCCAATTAAAAATCAGAAACAATAAAGTGACGCGTCGTAATTAAGATCCATATTTTCATTCAAGCAATCAACTCAAGTTCTGGAGAGACTCGTGCGAAATGCATTTCGTCTCCCAGATTGACAGTTGCAAAGTTTCGCAAAACTCGAGCAGCACACACGTGAGGTACAGCGAGTGTGTGTGTGTGTGTGTGGTCTCCCAGATTGACAGTTGCAAAGTTTCGCAAAACTCGAGCAGCACACACGTGAGTGAGTTTCTACCAATTAAACACCTGAGCTGACACTTTTCCAGGCGACACGCACGCACATGGTGTGACAAACGCGTCATGGGAGCTGCAGAACCAGAGTGTAATCCGCGGTCCTGGTGGTGAGCAGACTTATCGGAGGTTGCCGTCGCTGCGGTCGCCGAGGCGGTCGTGGTGGGCTCCACCCGGTGGGGTCCAACCCATAGTGGGGTCCCTGGGGGGTCCTCTTGCCGTATCCAAGCTCCGCAAATGCACACACGCTTCGCACGACACTAACCTTTCCGCTTCTTGATCTTGGTGGGGCTCTTGGTCCCCGTGGACGACGCGGTCGACGAGGCGCGCTCAGCCGCCGCCGCCGCGACCACCACGCACAGGAGCGCTAGGGCCACGACGCGCATCGTGGCTAGAGCGTCTCTCCGCACCGACAGGAAAGAGAGTAAAAAAAAAACAACTCGCGGTCGCGCGGCAGCAGCAGCACTCTCAGCACGCTCGGAGTCACTCTCGCACACACGCACGGCACTCTCACTCTCCGCTCCGCCCTACTGCTGCGACTGCATCTCTCGGCTCCACGCGGCGGACTGACTGGCCGACCCACAAGTTTCTCCGGGCCCCGTCCAACTGCCCAGTGCCCCTTCTCCTCGGCGTGGTGGCGGCGGCGGTGGCGGCGGCGGCGCTCCAGGACGGGGGGCAGGGAGTTCCTTTCTCTGCTCTCGGCCCCGCCCCCGCCGCTCCACCACGGCTCGCTCGTACAGAAAGGGAGAGGGAACGGAGGAGAGAGGGAGAGAAGGAGAGAGAGAGAGAGAGAGGGGAGGGGGCAAGTGCCTTTCTCTGCTCCGCTGCTACACCTTGGTCGCGTATTTGCGGATGTGTGTGTGCAAGCACTAGTGTGTGTTTTTGTGCTAGTGTGTGTTTTGGAACCCGACATTCCGACCCTCAACAGAGATAGGCAGAGTGACAGATTTTTGAGGGTGTGATACTCTGTTCCTATCCCTCCTGAGCAAGTAGTCAACTATTACCCACGTCGTCGAATGATCATAGTATTTTAATTTTTTGATACCAGTTGTTTAAAGTGGCCGATACAGATTAATAGAGGGTGATAAAGGTCACGCACGTCCTATTTCTTCATACGGCGCATCGTGCACGAAAAGGTATTTAGAGCCAGGCCATGAAATGAGAGATGCATCAGGAGGGTGAAAAAATTATGTCATCTCAGGAAACCTGATGATCTGAATGCTTCCTCCTTTATCCTTGTACGGACTACACTTCAGGCCCTGGAACGCCCCGCTCCCAACCGGCCGCCGCCCCTCTTACACGCAATACAGTCCTTGTTGCATGTCCAATTCTGCTATCGTGTTCTCATCATGACCATATCGGGCTGTCAGGCCTCCACCACTGCCCTGCTAGCTAGCGCCAACGTGCTCCCTCGCCGAATCACGTTGCCGAAATAAACTACTACCCCTAACGATAGGGCAATAAGAACGAGTCATTTTTAAAAGGGAAAAAGAAAGAAATGTAAGTTGTTACGAGTAGGGGCCAAATCGCACGCAAAGTTACCAAGTGAGACAATATGCCCCAAAATATGCCCAAGACTTCATGTTAAAATTCAAACACTGCAAAAATATGTTCGTGGATCCATGATTATTATTATTTTGTAATTTATAATCTACCAAATCTGTTGCAAAATGTGCAACATCAAAATTGCAATAAAGCTCATCGATGGGTTTCGAGTCGAGAAAGTGTTTGCACATTTGCGACTTTAAATTGCAAATGAAAGACACCGTTCCATGGAAAATTTTCCTGTTCCCAAGTAAAACCGAGGGTACAATTCCTTGCAACGAAGGCAACGACGGTTCCACTGATCGGTGTTAGAATATTTTAGAGTGCCGGTGTGACATTGTAACAAGGCCTCGTCAGGCGGACCACGCCGCGGGCGCGACTGCTCCAAAATTATTTCGTGCGGCGCGGAAGCGGCGGCGACAATCATTATCCCCTGCACTCGTCAGCGAGCGGCACTGCTGGGCACCCCTCCTTACGCAAGGCGCGAGTCTCATGACGGCGCGCGGCGTATGAAGGGAAAACTGGGCGAGAACGGACCATTCCGGCCTGTAACGCGTGCGTCATGAAATGTTTTGTTTCGTCCACACCGCGTCTAACCTGCCGTGAGCCGCCGCATGGGCCCGGTGGGCCGCTGAGAACGGAGCGCGCTCGGGCAGCAGGTTCCCTTGATGCCGAGAGGGCTTAGCGAGTGACTCGGCCCGCGCCGCTACTGAGGCCTAACGTTACTCGAACGAGATGAGAACTAGTTACGTTGTCTCGTTGCATCAGCTTTGGCGTCATGAATAGGAAGGCGCGCCGCCAATAACGGCAGAACTCTTTACTTTACACCAAAAAAAAAATGACTTCGTCGTGAGGATCAATTACGTTTGGTAGGCTAGATTCGATTGCTGGAATCAAGTATCGGATTCTCGATTCCAGCAATCGAATTTAGCCTACCAAACAGAACTGATCCCCACAACCAAGTCTTTTTATTTCGTGTACGTCCCTGCCGTGCGCGGAGCTCCCGCGCTGTGCGGCGTTCAAGTCACCATCGAGCTTTGGAGACATCAACGCGCATTCGGTTTTCGTCTGCAATTAAATTTGATTTTAACGACGGGTTGTGATGTTAAACGCAGCTGGGAAGTGAAGCGGGTGATAGATAAGAGACTATACGAGGTAAAGTGGTTAGAAAGACACAATTAGAAACAAGTTTGGGCTCAAGCCGAGCGTGTGCGGCCGCCCGGCCGCCTGGGCGGCGACCAAGACCGGCATCCTCTTTGGCGGTCCGTGTCGGCAGTGTGGTGTGACAGTGCCAGGCGGCGCGCCGGACACTGACGGACAGGGAAGGGCGTGATGGAGCGCCTGCCTCTCTCTCTC